ATGAGAAGATTTTTGGAACCGGAACGATGGGAAAAATGACGATGAGGCGAGGACTGTGAACTTAGGACTTCGAGTTTTCCATAGCATAGGTCTCAATTCTCCAAGCTTTTCGCTCCCAAACACCAGATTTATTCTCAAGGGTCCCATGTCGTTCTCATCATAATCCTCAGCAAAAAGTTTAATTGCTTTGGAAAATAAGTCTTTCAAGAACTATGAAAACTGCCTACCCTCCACTGGTACTGCAAATATAGTGTTGCTCACTGTATTCGATAAATTTTTCATATTTTGGGTGCCTCGGTAGATCAATCACGGCTGCTTCGCTGAAGTCAATACCAAGTTCCTTTCTGAAGCTGACTCAAAGTACAAGTCCTTATTTGAGAATGTGGAACTCTTCTATTAAAAGTTGTGCGACAACCATCACTGTCGTAACGGTGACGTCTAACAAGCGGTTGAAAGCGTTCATTAGTTGTGACTTCCTATACGATATTTTCGTATAAATAAGGTGAAGTTAAACACTTATCATGTGAAAGGATCTGAAGGTGATTACTTATTCAGATACGGTATCTCATTAGTAGTTGACGAACGCATAAGTTATTATCCAGATGTATATAAGCAGCCTATTTGTCGTTCAGTCGACAATGCGTTGACGTTCTGTCAGCAAAATTTACAAAGAGGATTTTCGCGGTCTGCAAAATCGGCCCTTCAAAATCAACTTTTTCGAGTACACGGTATAAGTCATGGTAACGTAGCTGAGCATTAATTGCCATGTATTGGTTACCCCTTGGTTTTTGTTTCATCCCTGGCATTGTTCAGCTCGGCAACCGTGGTGTTGGTGTCACTGCGAGATCCTCTCAACTGAAAAATAGCCACGAGCTTTCAAAAGGGCAATCGAGTTTATTCATAGATAAATAGTGCGCGCCACAACCTGCCCGAAGCATACACTTGTCCTTCCGCATCGCCAAGCGCTAATCCAGTGCCGTCGTCGGACCGATATGACAAGAGTTTGGAAGTCGGCTCTTTCCAGGCCCATGTCAGACTTTGCAAATCGCGCGATTCACTAGCGTCTGCGGTCGCGTCCCGGCCAGTGAATCACTCAATTGGCTGGTACCGCAACGCTACCGCGGACGCAAGCGAATCGCCCGATTCGCAAAATCTGACATAGGTTCCAGGATGAACTGTATTCGACTTGGCGTTAGCAAGGAGATGATGAAAACTTGATTTCTTTGTGCTATATGAAAAAATTCGCCAAACAATCCCACCAAAGATGCAAAACAGTTGGTTTCGCCTGGCTAATGGCCATTCTTATATACCCAGGTGATACCGACCTGGATTAGTAGATTGGAGCAGATTCTAAAAAAGTTTTATCTTGCACAAAAGGCCGCTCTGCTCACCACTTCAGATAACACTGAGCTATATTGTGCAATGAGTAAGCTCGGCAGCTCCATGCAGGCCTTTTCTTGGTTCTGAACATTAGATTAAAACACGAGGTAATGACATCATAGGTCGTGGTTCCCAGTCCCTCAGAGGCAGGTCACATGGCACACTGCAGTTTCTTATAAGTCTTTCTGTTCCTTGATCAATAGGCCTGAGGAATTTCGACCATAAGAACAAAGAAGCGGAAAAGTATACACACAGACAGTAGTGCACAAGATACACGATGGTACCGAAACGAGGTGGGCCACTTCAATTCTTAACCCATTCGCGACCGCGCGGGATTGTGCTATAGCAGTAGAGTCAGGAGATTTCTTCAATGAAATTTGAAGGAACTGAGATTTCCTCTGCCCAGGGCTGGCGTAGATGAATGAGGGTATGGAGACTCTTTTCATGGGAAAACTTTCCAAATTCCATTTGAAACCCGGCAGCCAACAGTGGATGCCAGTGCCCGAGTGAGATCTTTGGCAGCCACCGGTGGATGCCACTGTCATGGGTTAAAGAGAGCTGAAGCCTGCCTTCTTATAGCGGAGTTGGAGATGTGATGACTACAGGGAGGTGGGGAAGGGGGTGGGTAATATGCTTTCTTCTCACCATCTTCAACACGACGATAAAACTTCTAATGTTTCCTAGCTGCAGATCAAACAACGCACTCACTGCTATATACAAAAGTAGTGAAAAAAAAACTTCACGACAGCTTCCTGCCGAACTGGCATCAGAAGATCATGCCAGGCGAACACGATGCCAAGCCCCATCTGGTCGACCTGCGATGATTCAGTGCAGCGGTATCAAGGACCATAGCGACTTCTCCGGCCTGTAGGGTAACAGGGGTGCACAATGAAAATTATGGTCTCGAGGAGAGTTTCAGATCCGAGCTTTATAAAATTGACCTCCGCGGTTATGTACAGCTTCGTATTATGAAAGGGTGAGAGCATTGGACACAGGATTATAATGTTTTCTTCTCCCAGCGAGGTTCTTAGGTAGAGACTTTTGTTCGTGGCCTGACGTTTCGACGTTATTTCCCTCGTTCGTGGGTTTTCGCCTGTTATTGTTAACGTTCTCTAAGGAGAGAAGGCGTTTGGCGACTCGAAGGACAAACTCAAACCTTAAGTTACATTTAGGCCTTCAAGGAAGGCGATCCCGTCGAAACGTCAGGCCACTAATGAAAGTCTTCACCCGAAAACCTCGTTGGCAGAAGGATAACACAGAATCAAAACGATGCCGAGGTTCTACGGAGAGAAACGGTGGAGATTATTGGGCACAGGCTTTTTCTTTTTCTTGGGGGAGGTTTCATGGTGATCTCGAAGTGGATTCTCACATCTCCACTTTCTGTAAGACGTCAAATTTGGGGACTGCAGGTCATGAGCAAAGTGCCTTTTTAAGCCATTGCCCTGTATAATGCATGGCAAGCTTGATTCACAAGCAGTTATAAGCAGTCTAATTCCTCAGTGATTGGTGGCGTGCTATTCTTCATAATACACCTCAGAATTTGGGGTTACTTCATGCCAAACGATGCCTGACACAGGCACCTTTCCATTTAATGGCTATTTTCTCCTTCCTTCGAGGTTTCTTCCTTACCTAACTCTACAGTGAAACAGCTGAAGGCAAAACCATGATGTAATCTACGGATCATTGGGGAATATATTCGTCAACAGCCGTTAGAATCGTTGGATACGATTAGCATATCGAACGCGCAGCTGTCCGAATATTTCAAGTCACTCCCACTGACAAACTGCGTGCCAAATTAGCATAGCAGCGATATGCATCGGCCGCTTCATATTCTGGCAAGTAGATCTCGGCAACTTTACATTTTACTTGTAAGTACGTCTTGAATGCACTTTGACAACGCTAGCACAATCAATAAGTGCATATCATAACGAGAGTTGTAAATACACAATTACAATATAATAGTGAAAAAACCTCTATGCTGTCTGGGCCTGTTTTTGAAAGAATTTTGAACAGACTCTCAAATATTATGATACTAATCAGGCAGGGAAGAATTTGTTACTACAAACATCCGTAAGCTTATGGCAAGCAAGCAAGCTTTGAACATGACACGATGAGCATCTCACACAAGTCAACAATTCTGCACTATTGACACCTTCTACTACCCTCTACCCTCAACTCCTCAAAAACTGAACCGAACTGCAATAGAAACTCGTCCATGGCTAAGGCTAGAGAAACATTTACGTGGTATCCATGTACGACTTTCGATGAATTTTGGCATGTTATGGATGGAATCTCGAAAGTTGTACAGCTGTGTCTGAAAAATGGTGTTTGGAGGTTGGATGGCTCTTATCCTTGATTTTCTAGGCTCTTACGAAGGCGGCGAGGCCAAAACGTTGGCCTAATAAAGTGATTCTAACATCTTGGTCACAGCTGTACAGCTATTCGAGATCATGCCCCCCCCCGGTGTTTCATTCCATAGAACACGAACATCTTATCAGCTTAGCGCGAAAATCCCGACGCCCGCGTCACAGGCGCCGGCGCTACCATATTAGGATTGCGCCAGAGCCTGCGTGCGGCACGCTACAAGCTCTTTTGCAATGAGCTACTGAGATGTACATGTTCTACAGGTCAACCTACTTCGTCTGACAAGTTTCCAGGTAACTTGGGGGAGCCAAAGTGCTCTAGCGCTTCCTGGCGCCGGGACATGTGACGCGTGGCGCCTGCGCCAGGCATTTTCGCGGTAAAACGAGCGGTGCCATGTTCTACGGATGGAACTGGCCGCGATTACATTTCCCTGGAAAGATCTACAACTATGGACAAATTTGGACAGAAGTCGGGCTCAGTTTCCGAGAGCCGGGGCAGTGAAGGGTAATAATACAGTCAAGTTTCTATATAAACTAGTTCAATAATACAATGTAATACTGAAAGTACTTCAGTGAAAAATCATGGCAGGGAAGCCAACACTCAGGAGAGCGACACAGTTTCAAGGAGTTGCAAGAAAAATATTTGTTCAGATTGTCAGCAACAACTTTCGTAGAGCTGCGAGTTGCATTGGTTCCGTCCTTCCTCATTTTTATTTTTCGGCTCCATTTTTTAACAGACGGAGGTGTTGGTGTAGAAGAAGAAGCCTCTACATGATATCCCGTTTGACCACCTGAAACGTTCAGATATGTTCGAACAAAAATGGTTGATGCAAGTACGAAAATGTTCATCGAAAAAAATTTTCTCGAATCGATGGCCAACGAGAAAAAAAAACAGTCCAAGATGTGATGATACAGGCAATTGCTCACTCGAACACATACGATCTATCCATGAAAAAGAAAGTGCAGCAAAATAGTAAAGTAAAATAAAAAAGTGACAGGACCCAACCGTGCTTCTTCGCCCCAGTTTTTAGTGCTGTGAAAGCGCTAATCCTTATCATTTCAGCAAGAGATGTAAAGCAGTAAATTAAGAAAGTTTTGGGAATGCTTTCAACTCGTGGCTCGCTGATTAGAGCGGCGAAGCTGTTCTGTAATTGCGTTATTGATTGCCATGAAACGGGGATACGGTAGGCGGTTGCACGATGATTCGTCGAGCAAAGCAGAAGGCGGAGTCAAGGCAATTGAGGCGGATTGAGCTTAATGAAGGCACCTCCCGAGGGGCCAGCCATGTTCTTCTCTGACGGCTCCACCTTGCTACGATCTATGAAAGATGAAAGTCTTCGAGCCACATGGGCACCTTCGCTCATCGATCCATCTCCGGCCAGGTATCACTGTTCAAACCTTATAATCGTTAATAATGTTCAACTGATAAGCTTGTCACGTGTTAATGAAGCTCCCTAACGATTAAGCGTTTCGCTTCATTCCATGCAGCACACTAGTAGCGCACAAAAGATCCCTGCCAGGGACACGTTCATTCTTCTGTGAGTTGGCCTGCATTCCTTGCCAATTTGCGTCCCTATTCCCTTTTTGCTTCACCAAGAAATGAGCCCGACCTGTTGACGGGTAGATCATGCTCCTTTTACGCTAGACGATTCATTGTCGAGATCCATCATTAAGTCGCGATCAATCGCCTGCTTAATCCGCGATGTACATCAACCTTCTAACTTTTCTTTCGTTTCAATGTTGTTCAAGAAATTTCCTCAAAGCTGACCTGATGGAGCTCGTTTGACACAAGGCTTTTCAGTGCACAACTTGCTCGAGCTCATTTCGAGAAGCATCCACCGAATAATCTTCGAAAGTCGAATTTTTTCCACTTTGTCGTCGCGCTGTATGATCGTGCCAGTCAGCCAATTGAAATTGAGCGGACTCAGTTTGCTGGTTTTGTCGAAAAGGACAGAGAGATTGACGGCCAGGATACGAAGAATGGAATCCACTACAAACTTTATGTGCTGTTTCAGAACGGTATGCTTTTCTATAAATTATTTCACGTTTTCCGATTTTCTCCTGTAAATCTGATGGACAAAGTTCCCCCAATGGATCTATTCTTGAGGGATTTGGGCACCTCCTTTCAGAATTTCGGCATTGTTAGGAATAACGCTAGAATATCCTTCATCTTTTGATTGAGGCTGGCTTGAACACGGTTACCAGCCGGGTTCAAGTCAAGCATTGAGCTGCTTCTACAGTGTCACTTCCCTTAGGTTCTGTCTGAGTGAGGCTTAACACTAAAAGAGCCATTCCGTTAGCATTTTCCTTGCTCCAAACAAGGATTTTTGGAATTTTCGTGGATACCATATTACTACTTCAGGCCTCCGTGCTGAACAGGATCTCTTTGTTCGGCTGATCGACAGTGTATCAAAGCAGGTGAGGAAATTACTACGTTGTTAAGTGCCATAGACTTCCATCTTGGGCTTTGCCAGTTTCTCCTTCGCTCTCTGAATGTGTTATTGGCGACATGAGGCGAGGTTCCTCAGTGGCTCGAGCTGATTACTTTGCGTTCACGAGGGTTTGGTTTTACGGCCAGCCGCGGCCTGTTGGCAACAGATGGCGTGAGCCAGCTTTGAGAATAGCATGCTCTCAATTCTCGCTCCTTATCTTACTCTCATTCCTCAACCACCGACAAGCCTCGTTCTCCTAAAGTGAGGAGCGTGAATATCATCAATACTGCGGCCGCAAGCCGGGGACCATGAAAATTGGTGCGTAGTCTTTGAATTCCTAGTTTGTGAAGAGTTTTAAAGAAATCGATTGGAACCCACAGGGTTTTCCGCAACCATGATAGAAATTTGCCCAAAATGAGTAAATCTTTCCAACGCTTACAGAGAAATAAGCTCTCTACTTACGTTTCTATACGAATTCACATGCTATATTAGCGACAAAGGTTTAGGATTTACTTTATTCGCTTAGAAGATTAGTCGGAGAACGATTTTCTCTTAATCTTGGCATGGAACTTGATGCGAATAGTTTTGCTGTAGCCTGACCAAGATTTCAGCACTTTTTATTAGGCTTACGTTTCGGCCTCTTCCCCTTCCTCAGAGCCTGAAAAGCTTAGAGACTTCCACACAATTTTTGAAGTGTTCGAGGAGTCGCTTTGTTAGGTCATTTTGAGGAAGAGAAAGTCTTGGCTTGAAAGTGTTGTTTTCGCATGAAGGGTCCCGAGAAAGCCGGTTGAGTGTCAAGCGCTGATGATATGTTGAATCAGAGCCAGATGCGCCTGGTCTATCACTCCAAATTACGGTAGCGAAGCACAGAATCAATGCAGAAACGAGCGTGCCTATTCATCATTTTTATCTCATGCGCGGAATTCTGCAACAGGCGTGTTTGAGAAGATATAAGGAAACAAGGAAAGGCCTAGTTTTTCGATAAGTAACACAATCAAAATGGATAGCATCGATTGCTTCGCTTTAAAATGGCACTGGCATTAGTGGGCTAGTCTGTTAGAAAAGATGTATTTCAGGCGATCACATATGAGGGACAGGACAAAAATCCTGAAATGTGCCGTGTGCTATTGACGCATGAAGTGATGTGCAGGTACGACTAGAAGAGGAACCCCATTTCGGATAATTAGACCGAATGCATTTTCAGTCGATGCTGCGAGAAGAAGAGTTGCGGTAATCGAAACGAGACGCCAAGTGACCCAATCATCATCGACAAGTTGGTTTTCTATTCCATGTTAATAGAAATATTTCAATCAAAGATAATACTATATAAAAGTGGGTTTATGCACAAAAGGTGTGAATATAACCATCGCCCAGCGAGGAAAGGCAGCCGGCATCGATGAGCAAGGAACGGCTGGCCCTATTTTGGTGCCAAGACCCGTTGTGTAATTAATGCGGCCTGGCTGGCTATAAAAATCCCATAAACTCATTTCTCATTGATGATTTTGCTGCAAGCCATGTCTCTGATCTTTGAATATCTCCATTTTAAAACCCAGAAAAATCGAAAAATTGCTTGATAGCGCTTAGAAACGGTTCTGCAAGCAAAGAGGAGAATCACTTTGGACACAGCTCTCCGTCTACATCTCCCGCCTTCTTGCACCTTCTTACATTCGCGTTCGAGATGACCTTGCTTAATTAACTCCACTGACTGCTAACCTTCTGCCGACATTCTGAGCTTACACAATATAAGGCTCGAACATCAAAATTACAAATACATGGAGGATTAATTAGTGGTTACTTGAGCTTTATGACACCCACACAAAATTGAAATACATTTGCAGGATCTAATACAATCAGCACGGTCGGTCCTATCGTTGGTACTTTGCAAAATTTTTACGACCCCCCTCCTTCACGACAGGTTCCACACGACTCCCTCTTCACAAGAACTTTTTCCCTCCAAAAACACCGACGAGCGGAGGGGGGGGGGGCTATACGCACGTTGAAACGGCAAATTTTCTGCCCTCTCACCTCAAAAACCTCATGTAATTTAGTGCAACCGAAACAACTACGACACCCCCACCACAAACTTCAACAAACTACGACCCCCCGTTGCTACTTGTAGCAAAGGGGGGTTGACCCTGTTACTAAGCAACATAGAACTGACTGTGTAGTAAGATTAAAGAGGAAAAATTCTACAGCATGAAAATTGTATTTCAGTAATTCTAATCGTGTTTGGAGATCTTTGGTTCCCTCGCGCAGTCTACCCTGCTCGAGTTGAAAAAGAGAGAATTTTTTTCGAAAACGTGCCAAAATCATGTTTCTCGTTGAAATTGGGCCCATATCACCTTAAAACAAAGTAACTGCAACCACCATGTTGCCCCTGCCTAGATGAAATACTTTGGATCTTCCTACTATGTAGCAGTGTCCAGCGGGATGAGGTCGGCATTCAGCCCGGCCAGTTGAGGTGGCAAGTGAGAGGATTGCAAGATGGCCTACTTCTAATTGCAGTCCTGATTAAAATGCATGTACAGTATAAACAAGAATAAGGGAAGCGAGGGAGTTCTTTCCCAATGTCTGTGACTGCGATTGTAATTGTGATGTTCACGACTTCACAGCCTTTTCTCATATGAAGCAGCAAACAATTACGCGTGTCGCATATCGAATTAGGAGCGGAGATGAGAAATAATGACGTAATGTAAGGGTTGTAGCGCTGAAACCTTTCAAGCTCCATACCCAATAGAAATTACACCCATCTCCGCCGGCTGGAATCGTTCCAGTTGGTTATAGTTGGCCGAGTGCTGTCCTCTGGGAATATGCAATTAGCAAGTAACTGCTACAAATCAGCTGATTTCAGATATTTCCTCAAATTCTTCTTGAAGTGTAATCAAAATTGCCTGAAGAATGCTGGAAATCCAAGGGACATGCGACGATTTCAGGCAAGTTTCTGCTCATAGCATAAATCATAGGTATCGATTTCATGAGTAGCAGGAAGTGTTGTTTGAAGAACTTTCAAATGACTTGAAGTAGAGTTAAGTAGAGTGAAGGCAATCTATCACAGCGATGACCGTTTGACACACTTAACAGGTGGCGCTTCTCGGTTGTCATCGTCTTTTGTTATTGGAGCTGGACTGACGTTTATGGTAGCTAATGAAGCATAAAGATCATTTGTCATCACATAGTCAACGAGAATTTGCTTGTGTGCTCATTCAAAACCGACCACTCAAATTTGACTTTTAATTTTTTACTTCAGGTCGTGCTCAGTACAACAGCACGGATAGATGGTCCTCTACTGGCTGTGTCTGAGAACATGTTCGTTCACAATAACTCCAAACATGGACGACGAGTGAAACGAATAGATGCATCTGATGGTATTTATTACCTTTATCTTTCCCTCCAATGAAAAATCCGCCCATGAAAGAACGTTGGACATGATCCAATCATCCTTACATCTAATATCCGACGTTTGCTTCATTGCGCGTAATGTCAGATGGATAAGCTTGTACCAGTTAGTATGAAGGATCATTAAGTAATTATGGTAGTCTCGTAATGATGCGATTAGTATCGAATTTTAGCCTAATTCAGTTATCCAATACGAGGATTTCTTCATCATTCACAATCTGTAAGTTAGCCATTGATACACCCCCGCAAAAAGGGAACTTCAGTTGCAAATTTCCCACATAGAACTGAACATCACTCATTGGGTAATTGAATAATAAGGGAAAGAAGTTGCTTGTACAAATATGTGTATTCAAAATACGTTTATAAAACTGAACTGCCCGAAAATTTGCTGAAACGGAGAATAATGTGTTCTTTTTATACTCAGAATTTTCTGAAGTGTCTGAACTGTCTACTGGGTCATCTCCTGTCATAAAAGCTTTGTGTCCTAGCGAAGGTTGGATCCAAGGAGGAACACAGGTTGGTCACCAGCTTACGATTAGGGTCTTATCCAGAAAAGTGAGGAGGGGCAGGAGCACTGCTACACAATCTGCTCTAATAGCGCTTTGGCTCAAGGAATCCTTCGAAAATGGGAACTGTTGCCAGCGGAGTTAGGAACTCCTATGTTTCAAAATTGAGAAGTTGTCACCTTTTAAAAGTTGAGAACTGCTACTGGCCTCATTTTTACAAAATTTCCTGTTTTTTTTTCTTGCATGCCGTACGTGTCTTTGTAACTTACAGCGCGGAGGAGCTTGTGTGAGTTGGAGGGTTGAGAATTTTTGAAGGGCTAAACTTAGGAGAGGGAGGAAGCCGTGGAACATGAAATTTCTTGCCACCCTGCATTCACTCATTTTCTTAAGACTTAGCCTTAGAAGTTTGAAAGCAAAATCTGTTCGGTGTTTTGAACAATTTAGGCACTGTAAGCCGCACTGTTCCCCCCCCCCCCGCCCTCCCTTACTGGACCAGACCTTCATTATAATCCTCCTCTTAGTCTTGTTCAATGAGCAGCTGTTTTGCAGGTGATTGTGATAGGTGAAAATTTCTTCGAAGGTCTTCAGATCGCCTTTGGTTCAACAACTGTATGGAGTGAGGTGACAATTCTAGAATCGATGTTGCTGAATTTTTTGCGCAATATTCATTTGAAATGTTGCTTTTATAGTTGGTCCAAGTGATTTCACCACATGCAATGAGAGTCACAAGTCCTCCACGTCATAATGCTGGGGTTGTTGAAGTCACTTTACAATACAAAAATAAGCAATACAATAGAGGAGCACCCGTACGTTTCACATATGCATGTGAGTTCAGTTAAACTTCAGCTATTGCTATATGGAGCCACATTTCTGAAAAGAGAGTGGTTCTTGATGGATCATCTCGGCTTTTGTCCTCCCAAGGGACATCGTCTGATTATGAGCCTCTCTCCGATATTGTTATATCTTCGCACTCTAGCTCTGACCGAACCGAGTATTGACTTTGGATTTCAACGGCTGCAAAAGCTCCTACCAAAATATCCTGGTGATCCAGAAAGGCTACCGAAAGAAATTATCTTAAAACGAGCTGCTGAGTTGGCCGAAGCTCTGTACAGCAGGTGCGTATTTGTGCTCAAGAACAATACTATGTACATTGTAAAAAAAACTATTGATTCTAGGACACAAGCAGAACAATTAAGTAACTACGCTTCCGTCTATTCGGCCGGATTCGACGCAGGTTTGTATTAGAAAAAGGAATTGTTTTTCGGCCTTATCGCAACAAATCGAGCGTGATTGAATTTTTATGTAAAATTTTTTCTTTGTCCTAAAAAAAAGGTTGTTAATTGAATCTACTGCGAATAGAGCTGCCCCTTTTTTCTGCTCAGCAGTAGCAAACTTACTTTCAAAAGAGGGTCTATACTCTGATACTAAGTTATTGGTCCACAGGCATAGTTAGACTAGCTCAAAACTAGTGATAATTCTATCAATGCACCTCGTGTGCTTCTGTGAAAAATGGGACAAAGTGGAAGCTGATCAGTTTCTTATTGAGATGCGCCGCGCCTTTTACTTCCATTCAGTGATGGTTTCTCGTTGTGAAGAGATCTACAAAGTTACTTGACTGCGGAGCGGTTGGTTTACAAATCACTGATCTATTCTTCCTGTTCTCAAGGACCGTCTCTAATAAAAGCCCGGCATGGATCGTATGCTCTGTTGGGCATAAGCAGCAGCTTATGCATTATCTGATTTGGCGCAGAAGTTGATTCCGAGTTTCAAAGTTTCCAGGCGCAGAAGTTGAGTTGTAGCCAGGCCACACATCCCTACCGAAGAGAGCTGAAAAAATTCTCCAAAGTTATTCCCAAGTTTCTTTCATCTTATTGCTCCTTTTCATTGCCTATAGAGACCATGTAGAAAATCTAACACAGGTACCCTTCTAGAATATTCACAATTTACTGATAGAGAAACGGGCAAGACTTGAAATGGGTGGTGGAACATTTCGCTGCATTGCATTTATTTAGGAAATACGGCAGACTCTTACAATGCTTCAGGTTTCTCTTTGTGAAGCTCAAAATTGAACTCTACTAAATTCAACGTTTGAAAATGCCCTGTTTCTACACTTATATGTATTATAGTTTCTCCGCCCAATATTCGTTTGGTGATTCTCGCGTGAAAGAGGCATAACACAAAAGCAAGCAAGGAACGGTCATTGGTCAGGTATACCTATGAACGCGCCTCGAGACGCTGTGTTCAAATCTGCCTCGCTATCTGCGGAATTATTTCCAGAAAGCTTCCATGAGGCAAGAAAGCGCAGCTGTAATGATCTTGACTCAGTAAGAGGTCGTGGAATCGACTCCGATGCGAGTTCGTACTTTTGCTCTCTTCGAAGGGAACTAAAAGACTCTGCACCTTGCCTCCACAATAACGCTTCCTCTTATTTGTCCGTTTTGAGAGATTGAAAGGATTCCACCACCTCTTACCTACGAGTCAGGATCACTACCGCTGCGCTCACCTGCGCCGCAACCCCTTTTAGAAACTCACTCCACAGATAAAGAAAGAAGATCTGACCTAACCATCTGGAAACATGTTATCGGTATACCTCATTTTAAATAGCCGGACTGACCAGTTGACCTTCCCCTGTGAGGTGAAAGTGAACAAAAGTCAGAAGTACTAGAGTGCAGCGGGATATGTACTCCATGAGCGCACACAGTAGCAGAAAGAACTTAAGAACTTAGAAACTTCTTAATTTTTACCTCAGCGTTCCCAAAGAGGACAAAATCATTCTGTCCTCGGATCGCTCTAAGAAACCAGTATGAAACAATGTGCGACATGTTTTTTTTTTTGAAATCGAGTGTGGAAGAAAATTGCGATTCAATCCAAGAAGACAGGAAAACAGGAAGGCTTCTCGGGGAAGCCAAGGGGCAAGTAAAAACGATCAAATCCCCGAAAGATGTAATTCTATGTCAGAATCATTCATATTGTAAGAACTCGCCGCCTCTTCCCGTGCAGACTCAATTCTCTTTGCTAGTGTAGGGATTACAATTTTGGCGTGACAAAAATGGTACCTAACAACTCATTTCTCCGATTTTCCAAAAACAACGTCACTCGTCTTCCTTTCAAGTATGAGATTTTACGTCTGTTTCGTGAACCCGGAAGAATTCCGGAATATGTGTGCAGAAGAGAGCATCTGGTGTAACAATCCGCCTATAGTAATCCCGATTTTTGCAAGGGAAGGAAGCTGCGGGGTGGGTGTAAAGGCGAAAACTGGATGGTTCTTGTGTCCCCAAGCTCCTATCCTTCGAAATTTTTATTGTAGGGATCACGAAGTGCTGCACCAAATGCTCCTCCTTTGTTACGTAGACTCGATTCCCTTATCCATCGGTATCACTCAGTAAAAAAATGGAAAAGCTTCAGCTTTTTGACTACGACTGTACTTCACTGCCATCTACCTCTTCTAGGGCAGGGTTCACAAAAACGACTGTGCCTCACTCGTGCGTCCTGAAATATAACCCTATTCAGAACTCAGAATTACTTCATCTTTGGCCAGATTTACTTCATCTTTAGGCTTTAAAAGTTTGTGTCTGTGGAATGAGACCACGACCTTTCGAGGAGCGGAAGCAAGGTGAATGGATGTGAAAAGAATCAAGATCACCGAGCTTCCAACAAAAGCGCACGCTTGGAGAACAGTTGTAATTATTGCTCCAGTTCTGACGGGGATAACGAAATAAGGACACAGACACCACACTGGAATCTCCGTGAGGCATTCAGCAGGCGGCAGGGGCGTGATTATTTGTATGCTTCTTCAACCGACGTTTCTTCCAATGGAACTATTCTGAAAGTATCGCTTAAGCATGACCGCAGTTGTCGCAGAATCGAATGTAGACGGGGTTAACTGAATTTGTCTCCTTGGTCAGGATGAGAAAGCCTGCAGATGAAACAAACTCAAGCACTGGCTTAAAAATTCTGTCACAGTGACGGTCAGATGGCTTGATGCTGAAGCACTCTGAAAGGAAGAATGAGGCGAGCATGAGAGAAGCGTGAAAGCAGAGCCACGATCGTCAGGAACCAAGCAGCAATTTCACGATAGTTAACCATGGGCAGAAACGTTATGCTCGGAACTGCACCGGTTGTGCGACTGATGCCGCAAACAAGAGCTTTTCGTCAGAGCAGCTTGACTTTCATTTACAATGGGGATTCCTCATTTGATTGTGATTTGGGAAGATTTCGAAATTTGGAAATATGTATTCACGAGAAATGTGGACCTGTAGCAACCATATAACCTGTCGTCCAGTCGATTTGCTCGAGTGGGCGTCAACAACGTCTCCATTCGCCCCTGTCCCGTGTTAGAATTGTGATCCCCTCGCTTGAGAGACGAAGTCTCTCATTCCTTTCGTTCAAAGCTAGTCTGATCATGGAGCCGGGTGGTCGTTCAGGTGTTCGTTTGACGTCACAAGGAATCCACTCGGTAACCGGCTCAGGTCCAACGGTCATCACAAAATCGCATAATGTGTCCGGCCAACCTTGTCTTCGACTCCTTGGCGGAAAACGTCTATGATCTTCGACCGATGGCGTAGTTCGGAACTCCGAATTCCCCTCTGCACTTGCGTGTATAGGGTTCTTCTAGACATCGTCCTCTCGACAGCGCGTTGGATAATGCTAACCACATGCTCGTTTATTATTTTTTTTATTGCATGTGCTTTTTGCACATGAAGGAGTACAACTTAACCAACGAAACAATGTAAAATGAGTACCTAATACTGGGAAGAGCCTGCAAAGCAATACAACAATATTGGAAATAACAACGAGAAAGTGATTATCTATACGAGGTAGCGATAAAAGAAGATGCGAAAACAAGATGTTAGAATCTACACGCCAAAAGCCCAACACGTCCTCACTTCAGATAACGCCGCAAGATGTTTCTGAATTGAGCTGTACTTCTAGGCAAGGTGAATTTTTTAGACAGTTTTGTAAACTCGGTAGCTGCCCTTGGAGCAAAGGACTTGGCCCTAATATTTGTCTTAGGCTTGCAACAAAAAGCTTATCCTTCTCTCTTCTAGTATTGGTGTGCCGAATGGTAAAGAAGTCTTGAATTTGATATCTATTTTCCCTGTGAGCATCTTAAAAACGAAGATTAGATCGAACATCTTCCTCCTGTATGAAAGAGAGTTCGATCCCTTAGCATTCTATTATTCTGACAATGCCGCTGCATCGATTATTAAATTGAATCCAAGAGCTCGAATTAAGATTTCCGGGTGAAACTGTTCTGCACGGATCATTTTCTTCATGTGTTTTTAGAATGGGGATGAAAGACACTCGTACCGTACTCTAATATTGGGACGCGCTAGGTTTTGTAGGCTTTGAGAAGAATGCATGGTCTCTGGTGCACAACACCTCATCAGTAAAATAAAGTCGGCGCTCTGCTTACTTGTAATGATGCACAGTGCTGTGAAAAGCTTAATCTATTGTCAACAATGAACCATAGGTCCTTAACTTCATCAGCATTACTGAGCTCCATTGCCATTAATACGATATGTGAAATAATTCGAACTACCGGCCGAGGGAAGCACAGACGTCTTCTCATTTGCAAGAGGAGACCCCAACTGTCAGACCATGCACTAACAACGTTGATTGACTCCTGAATTTTAGTGATCATCTAGGGTTGAGACCGCCATATAGATTTTCAAATCATCAGCGAATTCTTTACAAATGACATCCGACTTTTCAATTAGACCGGAAAGCTCGTATGTGTAGATGTTATACAATACTGGGGATAAGACAGATCCTTGGGGGACCCCACTGGGTGCTGACCTGACATCAGAGAATACCGTATTAATCCGGACCTGGAATGTGCGCTGCGCTAGGAATGATTCCAACCAGCTTATGATCCTTCCATGAACACCTATATGTTTCAACTTTATTAGCAATTTCTTATGTGAGACCTTATCGAAAGCCTTCGAGAAATCGAAATAAATCACATCAATTCCTTTTCCGCTGTCCAAAAATCTTGTCCAGTCATTAGTCGCCTCAAGCATTTGGGAAATTGTTGAACGATATTTCCGAAATCCGTGCTGACTGTCAGACAAAATCTTGTTCCGCTCTAAGCGCTCTACTAAGACCCTCTTTAGTATTTTCTCGAATATTCGACAAAAGACTGATGAAATACTAACAGGTCTGTAGTTCTTTGGATCCTCAAGTGGTGCTTTTTTGGGAATCGGAACAACATACACATGCCTCCACCTATC